TATTCCAAATAAACAAGTCATTTTTAATAGAATACAAGGTGCCTCCTGGTTCTCCAAAATGGACTATAAAAGTAAGTACTGACACATAAAAACAGATAAAGACAATATTCCACTAACAGCCTTTAGTGGCCCCGTTTGGTAGAGTTGTGGGAAAGTGATTATAGCTTATAGCTTAACAGCTTATAGCTTATAACTGTAAACATAAGCTGATTTTTGACTTATAAATTAAGCTTCTCCTCCCCCACTCAAAGAATAAGTTGATTTTTGACTTACAAAAAGCTATAAGCTGTATTGTTAAACTGAATCAAACACATTAAAATAGCTTAAATTAAGCTAAAAGCTGAAATAAGCTGGAAATAAGCCCTACCAAACAGGGCCAGTGTACCACAAGGACCTTATGAATGGCTTGTAATGCCATTTGGATTAAAAAAATATACCTCAAATATTTCAAAGAATAATGGATAACATCTTTAAATAATAGAATAATATTTGTCTTGTATATATAGATAATATTTTAATTTTTTCTAGATCCATAGAACGACATAAAATAGATATCAAAATAATAACAAAAAAATGTGCAGAACATTGAATAGTGTTAGGTAAAAAGAAATGCATATATGCACAAAAGGAAATATAATTTTTAGGACTTGAAATCAAGTTAAGATCAATAAAAATGCAAAGTCATGTTTTTGAAAAAATTAATAAATTTCCTAATAAAATCACGAATAAAGAACAATTAGAAAGATTTTTAGGATGTTTAACTTATGCCTTAGATTTTATAAAAGACCTAAAAAAAATAAGAAAACCTTTACAAAGAAACTAAAAAATGATGAGAGTTTAAATTAGAACTCAACCGACTTTACTTTAGTAAAATTCTTAAATGAACTCAAAGAATAAGTTGATTTTTGACTTACAAAAAGCTATAAGCTGTATTGTTAAGCTGAACCAAACACATTATAATAGCTTAAATTAAGCTAAAAACTGAAATAAGTTGGAAATAAGCCCTACCAAACAGGGTCAGTGTACCACAAGGACCTTATGCATGGCTTGTAATGCCATTTGGATTAAAAAAATATACCTCAAATATTTCAAAGAATAATGAATAACATCTTTAAATAATAGAATAATATTTGTCTTGTATATATAGATAATATTTTAATTTTTTCTAGATCTATAGAACAACATAAAATAGATATCAAAATAATAACAAAAAAATGTGCAGAACATTGAATAGTGTTAGGTAAAAAGAAATGCATATATGCACAAAAGGAAATATAATTTTTAGGACTTGAAATCAAGTTAAGATCAATAAAAATGCAAAGTCATGTTTTTGAAAAAATTAATAAATTTCCTAATAAAATCACGAATAAAGAACAATTAGAAAGATTTTTAGGATGTTTAACTTATGCCTTAGATTTTATAAAAGACCTAAAAAAAATAAGAAAACCTTTACAAAGAAACTAAAAAATGATGAGAGTTTAAATTAGAACTCAACCGACTTTACTTTAGTAAAATTCTTAAATGAAAAATGTAAAGATTTACCTACCTTAACTCTTGCTAATGAAAATGATAAGTTAGTACTAGAAGCCGATGCAAGTAATAATCACTGAAGCGTAGTGCTAAAAATAAAAGAAAATAATCAACTATGTAGATATTGTAGTGGAAGTTTTAATCAAACTGAATGTAATTATCCACCATGGAAAGAGAATTATTAGCCATAATAAAAGGTATAATTTTTTTTTTAATATTTTTAACACCAAATCGTTTTTAATAAGAACTAATTGCAAAGACTTACTAGGTTTCGTAAATAATAATTTGTCTAACATGAAGGCACAAGGAAGGCTTTTACAATTGTAACTCTAGTTAAAATAATTTACCTTTGATATAAAACATATTAATGGTAATAAAAATAGTTTAGCATATACTCTAGCTCGAGAACTTGTAGATCGCATCCACATTCACAAGACTTACACCACCAAAGAAGGAAACACTCGTGGCAAAAACTCAAGAAGTGCTGGACTTTGTGACACAAGACAACGTTGAAATTATTAGAAAAATACTGACAGCAGGGAAGAGTCGTTCTATGAATGAGCTTATTAGGACAACCCATTTAGTAACCAAAACCTTTTTACGATTATAAGTATTATATTTATTTCTTCAACTCCGTTCTAACATCCAAGATAAAATAAGAAGATGTACGCTTATTAAGTTATTTCTGAGATGGTATGAAGAATGTATCACCTATCTGGGAACTCAGTCCTGCTACTTCAATGGACGGACAACCTTGTACAGTTATAGAATGTTAAAAGTGTCATTCGATCCAGACAAGGTCATCAACCCAAAAGATCATTTGGTTCAAATGTCGAAATTGAGAATAATCAATACATTCGACGTTTCACTTCATCCATAGAGTACTATGTTTTCTCAACTCACAAAATTCTAACAATTCATATTCAGGAGAATTTATGAAGTCTATAAAGAATATCTAAGCATAGCACTCATCACATTTACAACTGTCCAGATGGAGGTAAAAGATGAATGTCTTAGTACAACTCATTATTTGATAAAAGTCAAAGACAAGAAGGACATGATCCCCTACAAACGTGATTGGTTCAAAGATTATGATGAATTTTTTATATTAGATCCAACAGAAGTAAGGGCAAGAGGATTTTTCATAATATCTTATGAAACTACAAAATGAGCAAGAGTTGGATTCAAATTAGTTCATTATGAAAGGACTACGTTTGCAATAACACCATCATTGGCGAAAAAGTTAATTGTTACAGGATTGCCTTATGAATCAGTATATAATTATTTGGAACAGGTAGATTTGGAGATGTATTTATCTAAAAGGGAATGTAATTTTTGGAGAAATATTTGATAGAACAAGATCTAGAAGGATGAAATGAGATGTTTGAAGAATATGATGAAAACTATGATCTTAGTGATATCATAGGTGATGAGGGAGTATGAAATCTAGACAATGCAATGGATTGACCAAACCATGGTCAATTTGGCAAAACTATGGGCTGAAGATTACACTTCCAAGTGACCACACCACTAGGTGTCTCTTGTTCATAAATAAACTAGCAAGTGGCCACACCACCTGCTTGTTTATCTCTTGTTTGTCTTCAAGTAACCAAAAAATAAATAAATAAAATAAAATAATAATGTATAAAATATTTTATGTTTATAGAATAGGTTGAAGTCCAAACTTTGAAGTCCACAAGGTGCCTATATAAAGGCTTTAAGGGAGAGCAAACGAGGAGAGATTATATAGAATATACTTAAAACTAAGAAAGAAGTCTGGTTCTCAGACTTTCTTAGAATAAACAATACTTTAACAATCCAACAGTCTACAAACACCCTTTTCCTTGTAAATATTTGTTCAATAAACAAAAAAGTTTTTCATTTTCAGAAAAGAGTGTGTTACTATTGTATATCAAATTATTAATCCTAGGTCTTCTGCGTAACCAAAGAAGCAGTTTCTCATGTTATGGTCTGAGGTAGGAAACAAAACAAATTTGTGCTAAGCTTGATCTATAGAAGGAAAGGTTGAGGTTAGCCACCTCTGTAAACTAGAAGCTTGCCAACGCTAAAGTCCTCGCCCACTACATTTAGGTAACGATCAAAATCCTTAGATACTGTTTTTTATTTTGGAAATATAGTGGGTCTAAAATCAAAATGTCGTAGAATTATATATAAGTTTTTATTTTCTATGAGTTTATATTACAATTTCTATATTCAAGACCTGTTAGCAGATCGTAATCAAATACTAATATTAATTGCAAACTATTACCAACGTTGTGAATTTTTACAAAATTTATTAGATACCGGTGTTGGTAAAGATAAAAAATTTATAAGAATGAAAATTAATAAAATATCTAAAAAAATTATATATTATCAAGAACAACTAGATTTAATATCTTAAATAAAATAAAATAAAAAATTATTTTTGATATCATTACCATTTTATTTAGGAGTTTTCTTAAGTGTGCAAGTGCACACCATGTGCCACTTACACAAAAAGTGTAAGTGTAAGGTGTAAGTATAAGTATAAGGTGTAAGTGTATTTTACAAAATTTATTAGATACCGGTGCTGGTAAAGATAAAAAAATTTATAAGAATGAAAATTAATAAAATATCTAAAAAAATTATATATTATCAAGAACAACTAGATTTAATATCTTAAAAAAAATAAAATAAAATAAAATAAAAAATTATTTTTTATATCATTACCATATCATTTTTGAGCCACGAAAATTTTGAACTACAACCAATATTCAAATTTTATAATAATATTTTGTAACTCGAATATAAAATTGATTTGAATGATACGAAATTTATTTTGCCAATCATTCAAGTGTACGTCCGACAAAAAAAATTGACAGCCACAATTGACGATCGTCCGAACGGACGACGGACTAATCCCCATTCCAGCCATTGGAACCCTGTTTTTTTTCAAATTTTAATCGGCTACGTCATTATTTACAGTTACGAGCTCTATGAGAAATCACCCCTAACCACCTCCTAATGTACTTTAAAACCACGCGCTCGGTGCTCTCTCCCACCACAAAAGCTACAATCAGCAGAAGCACACGTGTCGAACAAATAAAGCGAGTACAATCTTAATTTTCTTTCGACGCGAGTAGTCCAACGGCTTTCTTTATGGCGGGTCACAACTTTCCCTCTTTTTGAAAACACCAATGGCACCATCGTAATTATGTTAACAATCAGGGCTTATTTAAAAACCTATAAATGGGAAAGTTGGGATTAACTTTTTTTTTCGTAAATATATACTGAAATACCGACTAGATTAATTATCGAACTCCTTCAAAAAATCCCGCACATCTCAGTCGTCCATGTCAGTGAACAAGCTAATACTGACCGTTCATATTTCAACTAACGAATCGATGTTTATTTCAAGTCGTCAGGGCGCCAACTACTCTGAACCAATCTGAACCCTAGAAATCAGAATCCGACGGTGCGGATCATCCTTGGTAGTTTATCGTTTTTATTTTTCGCAAATCTCGACCCTTTAGCCTCGTGAACCCCAAGAAACCCTAGCTCTCACTCTCTCTCTCTATCTAACACGTCGCTCACGGTAAAAAGAAATTAAATTCAAAAAATTCGAAAATCAACCGAAAAATCGACTAGGGTTTCAAATCGAACTCTTTTTGTGAGATTCGAACTCCCAAATCGATTCTCTCTGCGTTTGATCTTCGCAATTCCATGGATGCGTTGGCGTTTGGTTTGTTTGATTGAGGTATGTATCTCGTGCATGAGCTGTTTGTTTTGTTTATCTTTGGTTTTGATCGATTGGTTCGAGAAATGACTTGTTTTTTGTATGTAATTGGGTTGGATTGGGATTTGAGTTTGAATGTGTTGTGCTTATTTTGAATTTTTGTTGATTTTTATTTGTATTTGTGGTTTACAGATCTGAAAATTTGGGTATGTGTACTCATGATGGGATATGAAAATTGGGGATTTTGGTTTGGGGTGTTTGGATTGAGGAATTGTTAATGGAAAATAGCGCGGGAAAGTCTGGTGGTGCTGAAATTTCCAGGAAAACTAGATCTTTGGATATTCAGAGTCTGTACAAATCTACAGTTTCGAAAAAGGAGAGGAATAACAAGAGGAAGATTGGCGTAGAGACTGATGGTGAGGTTAGGAAGAAGAAGAAGAGTAGGAAAGAAGTGTTACTGAGTAGTTTTGAGCAGGCGGGCAAGAAAAGGAGCACGTTGGATAAAGTCTATGGTGATGGGGTGAGTTCGGATTTGCCTGATTCAGAGAGGTCGCAGTCGGGGTTGAGTCAGAAATTGGATAGCAGTAGTGGGTTCAACAGCATTTCGCTTAATTTGGATGATAGTGGTAATGTTATTCAAATTCCAAAGCGCTGCAGAGACTTTGTGGTGCACAAGAAATCTGAAAGCAATCAAGTATCAAGGCCATTGGGATCTTTGTCTAGTAGAGTCCATGGTTCTGTTGATCAGACTGTCAAGTTAAATGGGGAGTGCAAGACATTGGAGGGCAATCAAGGTTTGAGGAGGTTGTGGCCTCCTGGTGGTAAAGCCAGTTCCACCAATCAGATAGCCAAGTTAAATGATGATTCTTCTGGTGAAGTTGTTTCTCCAAAGAAGGTTAAGGGGAAGTTGGGATTTGATGATTTGAAGGAAAATAGGAGGGGGGTGAGTTCAGCTCAGCTTGCTAAGGAGGAAGATGGTCATTTGTCTGTAAATAGTGGTGATGCATCTTCTAGAAAGTGCCGCAGCAATCATAGGAAAAGGAAGAACTCGGCATCAGGTGGTGAAAACCTTGAAAAGAAGGTTGAGCTTCTGGTTGATAGCTCGATCAAGGTATGTGATGATTCCCAAGACGACAATGAGGACAACCTTGAACAGAATGCAGCAAGGATGCTCTCTTCTCGATTTGATCCAAACTGTACTGGATTTTCTTCAAAAAACAGATCTTCTGGATCACCAAGTGCAAATGATGAGTTGTCCATTTTCATCCATTCTGATGATGATTTTGGTAGTCGGGGAGCAAATCTGTTGGTTGGGTTGGAGTCGGCATATGTAGATACTGCTAACAGAGTATTGCGGCCAAGGAAACAGCACAAAGAAAAGGTTTTTTTGAGGAAACGACGCCATTTCTATGAGATTCTTTCCAGGGAGTTGGATGCATACTGGGTGTTGAACAGGAGAATCAAGGTATTTTGGCCGTTGGATGAGAGTTGGTACTATGGCCTTGTGAGTGATTACGATCCTGAAAGAAAGCTTCATCATATCAAGTATGATGATCGAGATGAAGAATGGATTAACCTTCAAAATGAGAGATTCAAACTCTTGCTTCTCCCCAGTGAAGTTCCTCGTAAGACACAGCCAAAAAGAGCTACCATGGGAAAGAAGTACAATGACCAGGAAAAAAGAGACTTGGCTACTGATGATGATAGCATTATAGGTAGCTATACAGACTCAGAGCCCATCATCTCATGGCTGGCTCGTTCTTATCATCGGGTCAAATCTTCTCTCGTTTCAAAAAGACACAAAACATCTCATTTCTCACCAAATTCTGTGCCACTCGTGTTGTCTACCAAGACTGATGGTGCGTGTGGGTGTTTGGACATGGGTTCCTCTGAAAGGGATATGAACAAACTATCTTGGAATTCTATGCTGTCAGACAGATTCATTGATACTGGCAGGGGTGATAAGTCTGTGTTGGAAGGCACTAGTAGCTCCAGAAATGGCAAATTACCTGTTGTTTATGTCAGAAGGCGCTTTCGGAAGAAAGACGATGGATTGTTTAATGCATTTGAGGATGGCCATGGATGTGGAAGTGCACCTGTTTCTATTGCCTCTGTTGTTGAGGGCTTCCATGCTTCTAGAGAATATGATATTTCTCCTGGACACATGGAATCTGAGGGGTTATTGTGGTCGGTTGATAATTCAGGCTTGTTAAAATTGATTATTCCCGTGGTTGAATTTAAACAATTTAGGTTTGAGTTAGGCTCTCCAGTTCCTGTCCAGTGGTACACATTTGAAGCAGAGAACTCCTGGTTGCTCCGCACTGTATTACTGCTTAATTATGGTACTGTTATGATTACGTGGCCTAAGGTTCATCTGGAGATGCTTTTTGTTGATAATATTGTTGGATTGAGGTTTCTGTTGTTTGAAGGTTCCTTGAAACAGGCTGTGGCCTTTGTTTCACTGGTCCTAACAGTATTTAATCAACCAAATGGACAGGGAAAGTATGTTGATGCGCAAATGCCAGTAACTTCAATCAGGTTTAAACTTTCTTGTGTCGAAGATTTTAGAAAGCAGCATGTGTTTGCATTTTATAGCTTCTTCAAAGTGAAATATTCAAAGTGGTTGTACCTAGATTGTAAGCTGAAGCGACATTGCTTGATCACTAAGCAACTACCTCTTTCTGAGTGCACATATGATAGCATCAAGGCACTGGAGGGTGGTAGTAATCAGCTACCCATAAGTTCTAGTAGCAGGGAGTCCTCAGCATTTGAGGTATTCCTTCTCTATTTCTCCGTGCCTGGGCATTTGTTTGTGGACCTCCCACATTTAAGAGGGAGCAAAAAGAAAAGAAAAATCTTAAAAAAAATTCCTCTGAGGGTGGTCAGTGGCTTTGGATTCCTATTTGTTTTGCTACCTACTTAAAAAAAAAAAATTCTTATTTTTTAAAAAACTCTTATGCCTGCTTTGTTTCGACTTTGAGCTTTGTGTTCTCCATTTTTTCATCCCCTCATCTTTCATTGTGTATATATTAAAGGAACAAAACGTTAAGTAAGATAAGCTGTAGCTGTTATACTCGTTTTCACATAGTAGGCAATGAAATGTTGGTTATGCAGTTCAATTTAACTTCATATCACTGAGATTAACTGCTTTGGGTTTCACCATGAACAGGGCTTATGGAAGAAGTCTATGCGGAGTATTATGCCCATGGGTGCTTTCAGAGAGTCTTGCAGTGTAGCTATGAACCAGTTGTCTAACTTGGACGCTAAGCATGGAAAACTTCTTCCATTTGCTCTTTCTTTTGCTGCTGCACCTACTTTCTTCCTTAGCCTGCATCTCAAACTGCTTATGGAAAATAGTGTTGCCTCCAGCAGTCTTCAGGATCATGATTTAATACATTCACTTGAGCATTCTGAAAAGACAGGCCATCCAATTGCAAATGTCTCACAGTTGGTGACTGACACGATCTCAGAATGCAATGATGGTGGTCGTGTCAGATCATTTCAGAATTTCCAAAATGGCAAGTGGAATTTTGCTAGAACTTCTGCCTGCTCCAGAGATCCTGGAGAAAACGCAAGTGATGTAATTGTGCAATCAAAGAAGATGGAATGCAGCAGTCCAGAATTGGAACAATTGGTTACATTGCCACAGCCTTTGGTTGCCAATGATCAGGTGTCTGTGGGCATGTCTGATGCTAGGTATTACTCTGGTTTGACTGGTTTGAGAGTTGAAATTCCATCACTGGACCAAGTTGAAAGGTCCGTTGTTGGTAAAACACCCACTTCCACACAATCTGATGATATGGCTTGGAATATGAGCTATAGCATTGTCCACAGTCCCAACCCCACTGGTCCTACAAGTATGGGGAATCACAACAGGAATAGCTCAAGTTCTTCATTTGGAGATGTATTCCATGCGTGGCCTGATGGAAAGGCAGACTTCATGCGCAATGGCTTTGGCAATGGACCGAAGAAGCCACGAACTCAGGTTCAATACACTTTGCCTTCTGGAGGTTTAGATTTTAACTCAAAGCACAAAATGCATAACCAGAGAAGGCTTCCTTACCAACGAATTAGGAAAGCTAATGAGAAGCGGGCATCAGATGGTTCTAGAAATTCTCGTAGAAACCTGGAGTTGTTGTCTTGTGATGCAAATGTGTTGATCACAATTTGGGATAGAGGGTGGAGAGAATGTGGGGCACGTGTTGTGTTGGAACTTGCAGACCACAATGAGTGGAGACTTGCAGTTAAACTTTCTGGGACTACGAAGTATTCATACAAAGCACATCAATTTCTGCAGCCTGGGTCAACAAACCGCTACACACATGCTATGGTGTGGAAAGGAGGAAAGGATTGGGTCTTGGAGTTTCCTGATAGGAGCCAGTGGATGCTTTTCAAGGAGATGCATGAAGAGTGTTATAATCGGAACGTCCGTGCTGCTTCAGTCAAGAACATCCCTATTCCTGGAGTTCACCTGATAGAGGAAAGTGATGATAATGGAACAGAAGTGTTATTTGTTCGCAGCTCCCCCAAATACTTTCGGCAGATTGAAACTGATGTTGACATGGCTATGGATCCATCGCATATTTTATATGACATGGACAGTGATGATGAGCAGTGGATTTCAGAAAATCAAAAGTCTTTGTGTGGACAAGGGAGTCAATGTGAAGAGGTCTCTGAAGAATTCTTTGAGAAGACGATGCACATGTTTGAGAAAGTTGCATATGCCCATAAGTGTGATCACTTTACATCTGAAGAAATTGAAGAGTTCATGGCTGGAGTTGGGCCTGTGGAAGCAATTAAAATCATCTACAAGCATTGGCAACTGAAGAGGCAGATGAAAAGGATGCCATTAATTCGACATCTCCAGGTACCTTTAATAATACTTAGTTGTTATTTGCTTGCTTAAATTTCCTTTTCGTATTTAAAAAAAAAAAAAAGTTGTTACCTACTTGAGATGAACATGATCCCCTTAGTTTTGGTGCCAGTTGAGATAATTGAGTAGTTGAGGATGCTGGGATTATGTTGGCATAATTTTATATATAATGTGTTTTCTTTTCCATACTGAAGTTATACTGAGACAATTTTAAAGTTCATGCATTTCTCTTATATTCTCGCTACCACTTGGTCAAGTTATGCTTGGGAATCCTTATTTATGTTTGCTACTTTCATTGTTGCTGTGGTCAGAACCTAAAACAGACCACTAGGATGCCCTAGGGTTTAGGATGAGAAAGGTGTAGAATAATAAAGGGTGGAGAAGTTATTTTTTTAGATGAAGCTTGTGCACAAAAGTGGTTGGGAGTTAATGTAGAGAATTCTTTTAAAGATTGTTCTTCCTTCCGATAGTAAGGTCAGCTTTGAAGCTGTAGCTTACTGGTTTTCTATTATCCAGCATCCAGCATGTGGCTTGAGAATTTGCTGAATAATTTATTTATGGTGCGTTCTATCAGGTTCATGAATTATTACTGGTAAATAAGCTTGTGTTATTCAGTGAAAAATGTGTCTTTGTAGACAGGCGTTGTGAACTCTTAGGCCTAAATGTTATGGTGTTGTTCTCGTGCACCCTTGCCTCTTAAATTTTTACATGTTTGCATTACGAATATATGCAAGCCGTTTTTGAACTAGGAATTACAGGTTAACTAGGGAAAATATGTTAAACAAACTTTTGGTAATGCAATGAAAAATCCGTGAAGTTGAAGAAACCTTACAAAATAGTAAGTATTGGAAGTGTGTAAGTTCCTAGTATATTTCTTCTTATGTCCTTGGGATGTGAAAGCTACTTTTGTAGCCAGTAGGTGTACACACCAGGCTATGTGACATGGACCACGGGACAAGTGTTGGGTGCTGGTTTATTTATCCAAAAAAAAAAAAGGTGTTGGGTATCTGTTTGAAGTGTTGGACTCAGCCTTACTAGTTACTCATTTATGGTGAAGCACTCTCATGACTTGTCGGACATAGGTAAAAAGAGATTGACACTCACGTTGATGCTTTGGAAACGACTTGTTAGGTTAAGGCATTGTCTGCAGCCTGCTGAACTTGCTTCTTGTGTGATTTGAGCAGCGGGATTGGAAAGTTGCTAAGTATTGGCAGGGTGTGTGGCCACATTGGGCTATGATAAGAGTTATCTTTTTCTTTCTCATATTGCCGATCCACTTCGTTTTTGGAAGTTCTCTGATGCGTTACAGATGGGTCAGACTATTTATTTTATTTTTTTCATGTCCTTTGTAAATCTTATAACTGTTCTCACTATGTCTCAATTGAGATGCAAGTTATGTGCAAGGTTGACATTTCCTCATATCAGAAAGTTGCTTTACAATTCTGAACCTCACCTATATGCCAGATCCTCCTGTGGTAACAGGTTTAGAGTATAACTTTAATTTGCTAGTGTTTGTTTTTCTTGTATGCCTGTGTCCGCTGGTAGACTGTCTTAAACTGGCTTAAGTACCTTTGTTTCCTGGGATACATACTTTCTTTTAATCTTATAGCAAAAGGTTTTGAAATATTGCTTCTCCACTTCTTGAAGATGCTTCCCTGCCTGATGTTGAAATGAATTCTGCATGGCATTATTCCTGTAAACGGGATATTGTGCATTTATATTTTACTATGTGTGTAAATATATATATTGCCAATAACTTTTTTATTTTATTAATTTCAATGCTGTATTCCAATTTTCATTAGTCCATCGTGTTTGTAGAAACAAATTCTAAAAGAATGATTTTCTGACTTTTTGAGCAGTCCAAGTTGATTTAGGTTCACCAAGCTCCTTGCTTATCCTGCCTGATACTTTTTAAGCCGTCCAAGTTGATTTAGTTTCTTTTTTTTTTGTTTTTCATTAGTCCATTATTTTGTTGGTCTTTTTAATGAGCTTGGGAATTATTTAGCATAATTTTTAAGTTTTTTGTGCTTTGTCAGCCTCCATTGTGGGAATGGTATGAGCAACAAGTGAAAGAGTGGGAGCAAGCAATGACCAAGGCCAACAGGGCTCTCTCCAATGGATGCCAGGAGAAGGCTTTACCCATGGATAAACCACCCATGTTTGCTTTCTGTTTGAAACCTCGTGGTTTGGAAACGCAAAATAAAGGTTCAAAACACAGGTCACATCGGAGATTTCCAGTTTCTGGGCACAACCATACTTCTCCGGGTGATCAGGATGGTTTTCATGCTGTTGGTAACTTTCTTTTTTTCCTTTTAAAATTAATCAGTAATCAATCTGGTGCTTGCTTCAGCTTTAAAGTCTTTTGTCGATCTGTTTCTTTGTAACAGGGCGAAGATTGAATGGATTTGCTTTTGGAGGAGATGAGAAGGTTATGTTTCAGGGATATAGCCATGAACCTTCAGATGCTTCCCCATCGTTTCAGGCATCAAGGTCATTCACACCACGGGATAGTGGCTTTGGAAACTTCTCATTGAGTAGTGACTGGTCTGAGTGGAATCATCACCCAAAACTTCACAGGAACAAATCGAAGAAAATTGGGACATTTCTGCCCCCAAATAATTCACTAATGGTGGCTTCGTACAATCAGAGGACAACAATAGGAAAGAAAAATGGGGTTCATCGGTGGAATATGGGCTTGCCCGAGTGGCCAAGTCAAAAGCACTACCAATCAGAAATATCTCTGGGGCATGGCATTGAACTTTTGGACGGTTCAGATCTTGATGAGTTCAGGTTGCGTGATGCATCCGGTGCAGCTCAGCACGCGCTTAACATGGCTAAGCTCAAGAGGGAAAAAGCTCAGAGATTGCTTTACAGAGCCGATCTGGCAATTCACAAGGCCGTGGTTGCACTCATGACCGCTGACACAATCAGAGCTTCTTTTGAGCACTCGAATGGTGATGGGTAGATGAATGACATTGAGTCAACATTGTTTTTTTAGCTAAGAGTGGCTCTGGTATTTCTTTTGTCAATGGTGGCACAGCCTTTCATCATTGTCTGTAGATTCCAAAGTGAACTTCTTACATTGATGTCTATTGCGGGCAGTCAAGATGAGCGAAACTGTTGTTTCTACCATTCATCGCATCGTCGTTATCAAGGCAGGTTTTGGTACATAACTTCCTGGTTCTACACACTAGTTCTTTTTCCAAGCATTGGGTTTTCTGTGTGCAATGCGACTCACTTGTGCTGGTAAGGGGTGTGTGGAATTTTGGTGCCGATCATTGTACAGATTTTTTTCACCCTCTCCTCTTTGTTCCTTTTTATGTCTTAACCTCAGTTTAAGTGTTTGATATTGAAGGAGCAATTGGCCCAAATAATATGACACACCTCATGAAATTCAAAGTACAGAATCAAATGTAGAGCATGTACCAACCAGAGCACCTGTTGTCCCTAGAAAAAGATGAGAGGAAAAGAAATGCTGTAAGTAAAATTAATCGTGATATTTTGTCAGGATTTGTTAGAGGCTTAGATCTTGTAGTTTTTTAATTGGCTGAAGCATATATGTATAGATAGATATGTATATGCTATTCTGTATGTGGGTTGTTCCTTGTTAATCTGTGCTCTTGCATTGTGATATGCATGAAGTTTGTCTGCAGCATATAGCACGACATAACAGGGAATGTGATAATTTATGTGAACTGCTTACATATCTGTGGATTGGAAAACCTAGTGAGCTTTGAGGTGCCGTGGTGGTGGTGGTATTTATTATGCATCCAAAAAAATTATCATGAAAATTACATTAGAAATGGACTTGTGTGGGCGGATTTATTTTGAATGTGGCTCATATAGTACACCAAGTTTGAATTTACTATGTATATTTTATTTTTAAAATACTTTTTAGTTTTTTCCTATTAATTTTGATTGGTAGGAGACTGACAATTCTTATTTGAATAATTTGTGGTTCATTGTAAATGATATGAAGTCATTGGAGTAGGGCTAGGGTGTTTAAGTGAATTTGCTTTACTTGCAAAAGAAAAGAACACCCACCACTTTGTCAAGGTTTTGGTACTTGGAGAGTTGGCTTCCCTTTTTAGGGGTTATTTGGGATGACCTAAATAAGTGTATTTTTTGTCTTTTTACGAAAAGATGTGCAGAAAAGTAGAGAGGTGATGTGATAGAAAAAAAGATAAAAAGATGGATTATATTGGAATTGTCAAACGGAGCCTTAGTTTTTGTGTGATGCCACTAATGGGAAATAACAATGTAAATTCTTCAATGGAAGCATAGAACAATGATTGTGCTTGTGTTTACTTTGAACTTTTTAAGCTTTTTTGTTTAAAAATGTTATATAGGCATTATTAAATCATGCATGGATGCCTCTTCGAGGCCAACCAACAAGCGGACATTCGCTCTCTCTGTCTCTCTCACACACGAATAGTTTTTGGCTCTCTTCAAGTGTGCTGTGGGTTCGTGAAGATTTATATGTGGGGTTTCGTGAAGATTTATTTGTGGGGTAGTAAAATAAATTAAGTGATTTGGGTTCAACTTGTGTTATCACCAGGTGTGGTGGTGGAGTGGAAAGGTGCTTTCTTTCCACACAGGTGAGCAGGGCTTGTTTCTTAAGGTGCATGATTGGCGGTTTGTTTTTTCAAATGGTTAAAGTTGACTTTGCTGTATTCTGCTTGTGATTCTGTTTCTTGTATGCATTTCTCTCTTACTCCGGTTGTGGGTCTTTTTCTTTGGGTTAAGTTGGATTAAATCTGGTCGGCAATCAGTTATCTCGGGATCAGAGTCCACAAACGCTGGGATGTTTCACGGGGCATTTTTTTTTTTTTAATAGTTCTGTTGATTTTATTTTTTAAAATTTCATTTGAGATTGGATAGAAAAATCACACATAGTTTTATATGGACTCAAAATTGAAGCAAGTCCCTGTGATTCTATCAGCGTATTTATTTTATTGACTTTTGGAGATTAAAATATAGAATGAATAAAGAAATTATTACGAGTAGATCTTTCTAATGGTGTATGGGTGGGCACATTCTTTCCTAACTTGAGGTTGAAAACAATTAAACTATTCTAGTCATTGAATTAATTGAAGCTTGTTTGATATTAACATCATAGATAATCAAATGAAATTCGAACATAATTTTAAAACTTACTGGAATTGCTTAGTTAGAGTTTTCTAAAATTACTTTATAAAAAATTCTACTTTCTTATTTTTCGTGTTTTTTTTTATTTTTATTGATTTTTTAAAATATTTTAAGCAATTTTTAAAATTTTTAAACATAACTAACATAAATATACTTAGAAAGTAAAAAAATTCACTAAATACCAAAATATATAAAAAAAAAACGAGAATTTAATACATTTTTTTTATATATTTTTATGTATTTATTATTTTTTAAAAATATTTTTTCACAATTTTTTTTACGTTTTAGATACATCTAAGTAAGGTATATCTAAAAAAGTAAAAAAAATGTTTAAAATCTTAAAAATATTTACTAAAAACAAAAAACAATGAAAATAAAAAAATTCAAGTTTCAAAAAACTTAATCTAAAAAGTTTAAATCAAACACACTGTTACTATTTAGTTTTTCAGTCAAACTTAAAAAATTCATTATTTGAGTCATCAGATTTGAGATAATCTTAGGCAACCTAAGGTGCACACTTGAGACAAACTAATGCAGAAAAGGACATATTTTTTTCCATGTAAGAGAGCCCCAAAACATCAAAGAAAAAAAAAGGCAAATCATTTCTACACTCACTAACAATGTATGCTTATATGAACTTATTAAACTTCAAATGAGAGCAAAACAATGAAATAATGATTTTGGTCACTCCAATGGATTTCCAATTAAAGATTTTTTTTAAAAAAAAGTTTCCTAAATTATAGAAAATTGTGCAACATATCCAAATAAAAAACAGCTAGGAAAAAAAGAGAGTAACTAATTGTATTCCAAAACAACAAAACATGCCCTCACATGAAAACAAAAAAACAAGAAATACGAATTACCTTTTTAAGATTTCAACACTTAATTTTTTAAATAAATATATCTATAAAAATTGAACTTAAAATTAGGGATTTTTTTTTTAAGGTCCCTGGTATTAAGATTTTATAGTATAAAGGACATCTAATATTTTTCATAATATCTAAGGTCCCTCAGTTTGATCTAGAGAAATTCTCTCAAACTCAGAGAAATTCTCTCCAACTCAGAGAAATTCTCTGTTTCTTTCCAGAAAAATTTCATGGTCGAGTATTTCAAGCTTCCTTTCAAAATAAACTCTCCAGATCAATGGCAATATGAAGAAGCGCACACCCGTTAGCAAAGAAGATCTAAAACTCTATGTCCTTAACAAATGCCATCATGAACAGAGAAAATTCAAACTCTATGTGCTTTTCGGAGAAATTCAAATCCTTTACCAGAGAAAATTCAAAATCCTTTACCAGGGAAAATTCAAACAAGAGAAAAATCAAAGAAAATTGAAACCAGAGAAAATTCAAGGGCAATTCAGAGAAAATTACCAAATTCAGAGAAAATTCAAAGGTAATCTAGAGAAAATTGCCAAATCTAGAGAAAATTCAAGACTAATCTAGAGAAAAATTAAGAGTAATCTAGAAAAAATTAAGAGTAATCTAATTGAGCACCAACACACTGAGTCAACTCAAATCTAATCTAGAAAAAACATCATCTACGAATCAATCACCACTATGGTGAGGATAGAGAGAAAACCCAAAGAAATTTCCCTCTATAACTCAGAGAAATTCACTGAAAACCAGAGAAATTCTCATCTCCAATCCAGAGAAATTCACTTAACCCAGAGAAATTCTCCCTCTCCAACCCAAACCAGAGAAATTCTTCCGCTCAAATTCAGAGAAATTCCAATTTCTGTGATTGGGATGCCCGAGATGGAGGCAAATTTCTCTGTTTTAACATCATGGACAACTTTGTATACATCAAGAAGATAAATACAGAGAGGGAAAAATGCAATGAAGCCTATTACATTACATATATATATATATATATATATGGCCAATGAACACCTTAACATCTTTAGCAAACTTACATACTAGCAAAAGGCCGCCACCGGAACGCTGTACCGCGCCGGCAGAAAGTCATACTCATTTTTAACTTACTTCCTCCATAAGATCCACCAAAGACCACAATAGGGGATTCATCAGAAGAATGATTCTTCTTCAAACTCCTAATCAAAACTGGAAAATCAACCAATACTTGCCGTGAATTTAAGTACCCCAATGTCTTTGCAGAATTGTAGGAGTCCTTCCCAAACGACATTGATTCTCTATAAAACCTATGCTAAAAAATCACAAAAATCACACAGTTCAAACCCAGAAAAAAGCAATCTCAGGAAGTCTCAAGAAAGCAATCTAGGTGATAAACCCATGATTGTTGTCAACTACAAGGGCGAGGACAAGCAGTTTGCAGCTGAGGAAATTTCTTCCATGGTTCTCATCAAAATGCGTGAGATGGCAGAGGCGTTCCTTGGTTCCACTGTGAAAAATGCTGTGGTCACTGTCCCTGCCTACTTCAATGATTCTCAACGTTAAGCAATAAAGGATGCTGGTGTAATTGTTGGTCTCAACGTGATGCGTATCATCAATGAACCCACTGCTGCTGCCATTACTTATGGTCTTGATAATAAGGCAACCAGTGTTGGCGAGAAGAATGTGTTGATCTTTGATCTCGGTGGTAGTACTTTTGATGTCTCTCTTCTCACCATTGAATTGAATTGAATTGAAAAGGATCAAAAAGATAAATCAGAGTTGGATCATAAATAACCGATCGAAACTCCGAATCTACAAATAAATCATGAAATGAAAGTAGAAAACAACAGTTTCTTACTATGTATTCAATGGCCAGCGTTCAAGAGAGAGAGAGAGAGAGACCTTGCCGAAGAAGATGAGCGAGAAAGAGTCTCCAAATAGTGCCGACTGTTTCAGAGAGAGATAGATATATATAGTTTTAGAGAGAGAAAGTAGAGAGAGAGTGTGCGTGTGTGAGAAGATGACTTCATACAGTGTCGATTTTTTAGGTTAGAATAGAATTGGATATCAAATTTCTCTGTAGGGACCTTAGACATCATAAAATAATATTGTGGACTAATTTTCTCCTTAAAATATGATGGAAATAAAAAAAAATAGAAAAAGATAATTAAATGGTAAAAGATTTGTGCTCAAATAACAAATTTTGTTAACCAATTTTCACCTCTTGATTTCATTCTTAGCATAATATTTATTTATTTTTCGTTCAACCTCAAACCTTCTCTAGAAATCCTGCTGTCCTTTTGACCACCCTCCTCTCCTCTTCTCTCTTGACTATCTTTTATTAATCTTCCTTCCACAATCAACTAAGGGTACGTTTGTTTAGACGGACTTGATAAGGGGGGATTGTAATCCATTAGATTATTAGTCCTGGGATACATTATCCCGGAACTATTTAGTTAGACTAAATTTATATCCTATGTTTGTTTAGTCATAGAATTAGATGTCTGGATTGGACTATTTTTAGTTATCTAATATTTGTTTGCGATATTATGGAGAATGATAAATGCTCAAATTACTATTTTATCCTTTTCAGTTATTTATTAAGTAATAGCAATATTAAACATAACTTAAATATTTTAATTATTTTTAGCTAGATTAAATAAAAATTTATTTTATTTTATTTTTTGCACAATATTTTAATTATTTTAATTTATTATTTTCAATTAAATTAAATTTATAATTTATAATTTATAATTTATATTTTTTATTTAATATATAATTTTAAATTAACGACAATAAAAAATAATTTTATTTAATATATAAATTAAATTTTCAACAATACAAAAAAATTTAATTTATAAGGCCATAATTTATAATTTATTATTTTAAAATAAATTTAATTTATAATTTATATTTTTTATTTAATATATAATTTTAAATTAACAACACTAAAAAAATAATTTAATTTAATATGTAAATTTAATTTTTTAACAACACTAAAAAAATTTAATTTATAAGGCCATAATATATAATTTATTATTTTTAATTAAATTTAATTTATAATTTAAATTTTTTATTTAATATATAATTTAAATTAACAACGCTAAAAAAATAATTTATAAATGTTTAAAAGACTATTTTATCATTTTCTAATTGTTTGCTAAGTAATAACGTGGAGGGTAAAATGAACATTTCACAAAATAATCTCATGAGATACCAATCCCATGGTTTCTATCCCACCTCCCTCCATGGGATAGAATAGTCCCATATTTGTGAGACTAATAATCCGAGTAGTCCGGAACAAAAAAAATGAAACAAACAATGGACTATTAGTTCGGTAGGACTAATAGTCCAATCTCATCTCCTAATCCTTCAAAACAAACACACCCTAAGAGATAGTTTGACATCCCTTACAATAACACACTTTTTGTCTTTTTATATTTTTTAAATTACATCGTTTCTCTATTTTATATAAGTATGTATATATATATTTATAAAAAATAAAAAAATAATACACTTATTTAAAGTTATGTTTGACAACTTTTAACTAATAAAAAGTGTTGTTTAGCAAGTTGGTATGTAGCTAAAATAGTCACAAAAGATAAAATAGATTATTTTAATTACAACAAATAAAACATCACATTTAACTTATAATTATTACACTCTTTTTTCACTAAAAAAAATCAAAAAAATCAAAAATTTAAAATTTTTTTTCCAAACTAAATTTTTTAACTCAAATTAAAATAACTAAAAAAATCGAAAAGTCCAAAATCGAACCCACTTCACAAAGGGAGGCTTAATTTAAAATTTTAAAATTTTGGTTTGGGAGCAGCCAGATAAGCACACACCCCTTGAACCGTAACGTAACCCAACCGTCTAAACTGGCAACTTTCGCTCTCCTCCTCTCGTTCTCCGCAACTCTCTCTCTCTCTCTCTCTCCTCTCGCAAGATGTCTCTCTGTGTGCAATTCAACACTCTTTTTTCACTAAAAAAAATCAAAAAAATCAAAAATTTAAATTTTTTTTTCCAAACTAAATTTTTTAACTCAAACTAAAATAACTAAAAAAATCGAAAAGTCCAAAATCGAACCCACTTCACAAACGGAGGCTTAATTTAAAATTTTAAAATTTTGGTTTGGGAGCAGCCAGATAAGCACACACCCCTTGAACCGTAACGTAACCCAACCGTCTAAACTGGCAACTTTCGCTCTCCTCCTCTCGTTCTCCGCAACTCTCTCTCTCTCTCTCTCCTCTCGCAAGATGTCTCTCCGTGTGCAATTCAACCCTACCTCTCAACCTCCCCCAATGTCCTCAATCTTCATTCCGCCATTGTTACAGCTCAAATCTTCCACTCCACGCGTACTAATCTTCGATCAGGTCCACCCTCGCCGATCTGTCTCCTTAAATTTATGCTCCTTCTCAATTATATATATGTATGTATGTATGTGTCTATTAGATTGTGTTTGTATTGTGTCTTGATTGCTTTTAGATCAAGGACGTGAATATATTTGGGGAAAAATGCCGATCCGAGTGAAGGAAGAAGAGAGAATCGAAAGGATCATTCGTAACCTTTTGAAGCTTCCGGAGAATCGGAGATGTATCAATTGTAACAGTCTGGTGTGTGACTTTGCCTCTCTTGTTTTTTCAATTTGTTTTATGGTTATTTATTATTTGAATCTAGAAATGTGGAGTTCAATGTGAATAGCTGAGATTCTTGTGATAAGATGATTCGATAGTTTTATAGAATACATAATTCATCAATTTTATGTATTCAATAGGTAAAAATGGTTGCTTCTTGTCTGAATTGATGTATTATATGAGTGAAAACTGAATCCAAGTTCTCTACTTACATATCACTCTAGATTTCTTAATGCTGACTTTGGATCGAGACTACGAAAAACAGACAGGATAGGAGATTCCTTAAAAGTGTTGTTTATATTTATAGCTTTTTTTTTCGCTTTCTTTTGACTTAATTTACTTCATCAAGGAGAATTGTGGGGAGAAATAGGTGAAAAAAGTTATCTTTCTAGACACCTTTGGGCTGTGTTTGGTTAGGGGATTTAGGAAGAGATTTGAAAAGATAAAGGAAAAAGGTGTGTGAAACTATATGAAATGTAGGTATATTTTTATTTATATTTCATCTACATTTTTCCTTTTCCTTTCCAAATCCCCCAACCAAACACCACGGTAGAGTTTGAAATATAAGAAATGGATTTTTTTTCATATGGTGCTTGCCACTGGGAGGTTTGACTTAAGTTTTGATGTTGTGATGACATACGATCCAGCTAAGGATCCTTTCAAGATAAGATTTTAGTGGGGCATTAGTGCTTGGCACATACAAAAGTCAATGCTAGACCTCATTCTCTGTTTCTATACTTGAATTGTCACCTCACCTTTCTGTGCCATTTGCATATGAACAGCTACAGCTCTAATTCTATAAGTTTTGCTAACATTGCACACAGCACTTAAAATGATTTTTCTGTAGCACCGCTGGCTGTCCATTTTCTTTTTCAGGGAAAGTATTTGTGGAGCTGTCCTAGTTTATTTATTTATTTATTTTTTTAACAGGAGTAAGGAGTACTTGTGGTACATCATTCATGGATTTGAAGTGAAATTATTACAATTATGGAAATTTTTTTTTTTTTTGTTCCTCTGTGGTTCAACAAATGAAATTATAGTTCCATATCGAAGGCTGTTCATAATTCTGAAAGTCCTTTGTTTGGTTCAATACTATGGCTGACATGTGTTCTTTAATCAGGGGCCACAATATGTGTGCACTACTTTCTGGACCTTTGTTTGCACCAACTGTAGTGGAGTGCAGTAAGTGTTGATCTGTGCCCTTACATTTATTCCTTACCTACACTTTTCTCTGTCATATTAAGCTGTGTGTAATGCATGCTGAAATTTTGCATGATATCAATGGAAGTCCTGATAAATTGGGCTGTATTTAATTTCATATTACACTGTCAGATTTTAGTTTAGTATATTTTTCCTGGCTTGATTAATTATTCTCTTGATTAATTGTAGTCGGGAATTCTCCCACCGAGTAAAATCTGTGTCAATGGCTAAATTTAATACAGAAGAAGTTAATGCTCTTCAAGCTGGGGGAAATGAGGTGTGTGACCCATTCAAAATAGAGCTGCTTTTTTTTCCCGCTCTTTTGTATTCCTCTCTTCTACTGTAAATCAAACCTTTCTGCTTATGATTGGTCAATATGTTTTCCATTTTCATAGCGAGCAAGGGAAATTTACTTCAAAGAGTGGGACCCACAGCGTCATTCATTTCCAGATTGCAGGTGCTTGTATATTTTAATTGGTGTTCTGTTAGGATACGCCATAAAGATGTCAACTTATTCAATATTTTTTGCAATCCAGTAATCAAAATAGACTTCGGGATTTTATTAAACATGTCTATGTGGATAGAAAATTTACTGGTGGGAGGAGTATGGGCAAGCTTGCAATGGTGAAAACAGTAAGTGTCTTACTCATCATCATTTATGCGCAACTGTAGTATTTTTTCCCCTTGAAAAGCTTTTCTGACCTCATATTGTTCTGGTCAATATAGAAAAATCCAATTCATGCTGTTCTGTCTCATTCATTTCAATTTCCATTTTCTGCTTGGTTTTCTCATAGATAAACTCATCTCCTAAATAAAAAAACATTTCTTTTGTATGCTACAGGATACCAAGGAAGACTCCTGTGACTGGCATTCAGGTGAGAGACCTAGTTCTGGACAAAGGAGTGATGACAGAAGTTCAAAATATTATATTGATGAAAGAAGAAGTCCGGGGTACAAACTAGACAATGTCAGATCTAGCACTCACAGGAACCGTCCCGTTAACTTTGAGATAGTCGATGACAGGTTTCGAGATGATGGGTATGGAAGTGGCAAGCGATCTGAAACGCATAGGCCTTCTAATGCAGAGTCCAGGGCACGGGGCAAGTCACCAGTTTATCAAAAAAGCAGGAACGTCATCAGTCCCCCAGTAGTGCGCCCAGTCAGGGATATTTTGGGTGATAATGTTCCAAATTTGAGGGTAGGCGAATCTCCTGAAGCAAATGACAGGATGGATAATGAGAGCTCTACTCATGGCACGGTGAGATTATTTACTTAATTATGTGTAAGACAAATTGATGTATATTATTGACTGATATTATGTTGATCTATTTATTACAATGATTCATGATTCCTATATATAGAAGAGGGTGAGTGTGTAGTAGGTAAGGAGTAGGTGAAGTGGAGGTGGTAGTGGTGTAGTGGGTTAGGTTTAGTGGAGTAGGTGAGATGGTAGTGGTGTAGTGGGTTAGGTTTAGTGGAGTAGGTGAGATGGTAGTGGTGTAGTGGGTTAGGTTTAGTGGAGTAGGTGAGATGGTAGTGGTGTAGTGGGTTAGGTTTAGTGGAGTAGGTGAGATGGTAGTGGTGTAGTGGGTTAGGTTTAGTGGAGTAGGTGAGATGGTAGTGGTGTAGTGGGTTAGGTTTAGTGGAGTAGGTGAGATGGTAGTGGTGTAGTGGGTTAGGTTTAGTGGAGTAGGTGAGATGGTAGTGGTGTAGTGGGTTAGGTTTAGTGGAGTAGGTGAGATGGTAGTGGTGTAGTGGGTTAGGTTTAGTGGAGTAGGTGAGATGGTAGTGGTGTAGTGGGTTAGGTTTAGTGGAGTAGGTGAGATGGTAGTGGTGTAGTGGGTTAGGTTTAGTGGAGTAGGTGAGATGGTAGTGGTGTAGTGGGTTAGGTTTAGTGGAGTAGGTGAGATGGTAGTGGTGTAGTGGGTTAGGTTTAGTGGAGTAGGTGAGATGGTAGTGGTGTAGTGGGTTAGGTTTAGTGGAGTAGGTGAGATGGTAGTGGTGTAGTGGGTTAGGTTTAGTGGAGTAGGTGAGATGGTAGTGGTGTAGTGGGTTAGGTTTAGTGGAGTAGGTGAGATGGTAGTGGTGTAGTGGGTTAGGTTTAGTGGAGTAGGTGAGATGGTAGTGGTGTAGTGGGTTAGGTTTAGTGGAGTAGGTGAGATGGTAGTGGTGTAGTGGGTTAGGTTTAGTGGAGTAGGTGAGATGGTAGTGGTGTAGTGGGTTAGGTTTAGTGGAGTAGGTGAGATGGTAGTGGTGTAGTGGGTTAGGTTTAGTGGAGTAGGTGAGATGGTAGTGGTGTAGTGGGTTAGGTTTAGTGGAGTAGGTGAGATGGTAGTGGTGTAGTGGGTTAGGTTTAGTGGAGTAGGTGAGATGGTAGTGGTGTAGTGGGTTAGGTTTAGTGGAGTAGGTGAGATGGTAGTGGTGTAGTGGGTTAGGTTTAGTGGAGTAGGTGAGATGGTAGTGGTGTAGTGGGTTAGGTTTAGTGGAGTAGGTGAGATGGTAGTGGTGTAGTGGGTTAGGTTTAGTGGAGTAGGTGAGATGGTAGTGGTGTAGTGGGTTAGGTTTAGTGGAGTAGGTGAGATGGTAGTGGTGTAGTGGGTTAGGTTTAGTGGAGTAGGTGAGATGGTAGTGGTGTAGTGGGTTAGGTTTAGTGGAGTAGGTGAGATGGTAGTGGTGTAGTGGGTTAGGTTTAGTGGAGTAGGTGAGATGGTAGTGGTGTAGTGGGTTAGGTTTAGTGGAGTAGGTGAGATGGTAGTGGTGTAGTGGGTTAGGTAGGTCCACCATATGCTGTAGTGGAGGAGCAGGGAGGAGGCAACTTGCTTGGTGGTCTAGGAAGCACGGAGGCAACACCGGCAAGGGCCGTCCAGGACGGAGGCAAGAAGAAGAGACCGGCGGCAGAGTAGAGAAGGAAAAGGAAAAGGAAAAAAATCCCGCCTGTGGATGGGTGTTTGTGGGTGATGTTTGTTTGTTTGTTTGTTTGTTTTTTTTTTTTTTGTGTAAAATTGTGATCGGGGTTGATCCCGGAGAGGAATAAAATATGAGTGTTGTGCAAATTTGTAAATTGTTTGGTTTTTTTTTTTTTTTTTTTTTTTTTTAAAGGGGTTTTTTTTTTTTGAAAGAGGGGGAACACGCCCATGTGATAATAATAAAAAATAATGAGAATGAGAAGAAATGGGTTGGTATAGTGCAAGTGTGTTGGTAATATATTAAAATAAAATAAAAGAAATCCAATGGGGGGTTTCGGAACCTGTGGGCTAGGATAGTGATGTGAATATATTAAAAATGGGTTTGTGCGTGTAAAGACCGAAGCACAACTCAACTTGCTTAACAATGGCCCCGTCCGGATCTTTAACTCTGAGGAGAAGTGCGAGGGCGATGGTTCATCTGAAGAGGAGGATCAAGACAACAGTGGTGGAGAAACAGAACTGCCAGAGATTGATCCACGCGCTGAAGATCGGGAACTGAAGAACCACCTGTTGAGGAAGTATAGTGGTTACTGGAGTAGTCTCAAGCAAGAGTTTTCCAAGAAAAAGAAGAAAGGGAAACTACCCAAAGAAGCTCGGCCAAAGCTACTCAATTGGTGGGAGTTGCACTACAAATGGCCTTATCCTTCGGAGACCGAGAAGGTGGCCTTGGCAGAATCAACTGGTTTGGACCAAAAAACAAATTAATAACTGGTTCATCAACCAGAGGAAACGACACTGGAAATCGTCTGAAGATATGCAATTCATGGTAATGGATGGAATTCATCCACAGAACGCAGCTTTCTATATGGAAGGACACTATATGGGCGAAGGTCCTTACCGATTGGGGCCATGACCATGAGAAATAATCAAAATGGGTAGCTGAATCACAAAAGAAAGAGGAAAACAAAGATGCATCTGCTGCTGCCAGGCTACTTGAGAAACTGAGTGTTGAAGATGAGAGAGCAGCAGAAGACAAAGCCAGTGAAGAGGTGTCTGTCATGGTCTGAGAGAGCCGAGAGGTAAGAGAGAGGAAGATGAAGTTACAGTCTGGGTATGTGTAGAGGTCCGGCGGGCGGCCAAGGCGAGGCTGCCGCCCGCCGGTGAAGCAGAATGAATAGGTTCTTAACCTAGCTCTGATACCACGTAAGAAAAATTGATGTATATTATTGACTGATATTATGTTGATCTATTTATTACAATGATTCATGATTCCTATATATAGAAGAGGGTGAGTGTGTAGTAGGTAAGGAGTAGGTGAAGTGGAGGTGGTAGTGGTGTAGTGGGTTAGGTTTAGTGGAGTAGGTTTAAGTGGGTGAAGTAGGTGATAGGTTTTAACATTATGTAGTGATAGTATTTTGTGTTTACGTCTTATGTGTGTGTTTCCATTATTGTATTTTAGCGTAATGTGCTCAACATGTCCTCCTTCCGGTAAGATATTACTTTCCATGTGATTCTCTGGTAGTTTGAGAGAGCATTACCACTGGCAATTTTGTGCAGAATCATGCAAGTTGCACAGAATTTACGAGGTGAAAGTATGAAAATTCTTATTGGATGGAATCCTATATTCACCATGGCTTATCAATTTGCAACTTTCTTTGTGTCATTCTGGTGTAGCATTTTTTGTGAAAACTTAATAGTGGTGGAGTCCCCTTTATGTTGTTCTCTTTGAGGTTCTTGGTTCTGCTGAAGCTGGTCATATCAGATCTTATTCTTTATTGGGCTGATTCTTGTTTCTTGAGACTATTTCATCATTGAAAGCTGTGAAATGGTCCAAAACAATTGTCCTGGGCAGGTTGTTGCACTCAGTCTCTGTACAGACTATACTTTCTTACAGATATATATATCTTCTCTGTATTCAATTAAACCATATAAAGTTGCATGTACCCAAACACCTTAGTATTCCTCCATTGACCTAATGCAGAATTGAAAAAATTACAATGGACTGATTTCTGTTGTTTCATGTAAAAGGCGATGAACATCAATAATTTTTAGTTTACACTAATTTTCTTTGTTCTGCCTCCATTCATTGATACCATTTCTCATGCAAATAGGAAAGCCAAGTTTTTCGCAATATCTCAACAATGGTATTTTCTTTGCAAAAAAGATGAAATTACATTTTTGTAGTGTTTAAAAGTAAATATTGTTGCTCTCAAATGCAACAATATTTTCTATCGTGACAACTCGTGTGGCAATTGGTATAAATAAGCCGACAGGATCATCGCATTGCCCCATTCAAGAGGATAACAAATGTCTATTTGCTAAGTTCATTTTTGGCTTCTTGTTACTTTTTTGGCAGAAGAATTTTGCTAATAATGTATTTGGTAGCCTAGCCTATTCTGTAATCCTATGAAGTTAAAAGCATGTTGCATTTTAATCTTTAAATCTTTCTCAGTGCAGAAAACGGAATCTTCGAATGATCCAGGCTCTGTTGATAGGAAATCACAGGAACATAAAAGAGTGAACTCAGGTAGCTTGATTGATTTTAGTGCTGATCTCGAGCCTGCTGATCCTGCAGCAGTGCCACAAACACAACAAACAGCTCTATCAATCGATGGTGGCAATGGGGCCTCTGTTCAATCTTCCACAAAGGCAAATGCTTCTGATGCTTCAAATGCAAATTCTTTGGAATCTATTTTTTTTGAATTGTCAGCTCCTCCAGCTGGACCTGTAGATATAATGTCTGCAGCACCAGGCAATGCTGTTGCTCCTTCAGCTACACCTGTTGCACTATCCAGTACACCGACAGCCTTCAATACTGGAGATGCTTCTGCATCGTCACCATTTGGAATGGCGCCAATGCCACCAAGTAGTAGCAGTGATTCAATGGCCAGAGCTACTGATGACAGCCCTAATATTCAACAGACTTCTCCGTCAGTTGGAGCTTTTTATAATCAGGTCAAATTAGTTATTTCCATCAAAGTTCCTAGTTTTAGCAATTGATCATTCTTGGTTGAATCTGATATGAAGTTACATTTATCAATGCTAGAATTTTCATACAAAAAATGTGTGAAAATAGTCAAGTTCGTTTGCTTGTGTAGGACTCAAGCCTTTGACCTCCTAGTGAGTTGCAGGGATTCTGGTCAACTGTGTTAGCGCCAATTGATCAAAATCTGGATGTGTTGAAGTGAAGATGAGATGTAAAATAATTTAAAAGTTTCAAACCTGTTTCCTGAGATGTAATAGGTAGTGTGTTTCTTCTTACAGACATGGACTTCATCACTTACACCAAATGCTCAAGATTCATCAAGTGCTGCTGCTGGAGACTCATCTCAACCCAGCTCTAAAGTAGTCCAAGATACCACCTCCGGACTTGGGTCACAAACTCTTCTGGTGGAAACGAAGTCTCGTGGGAGGCAGGAACTTCCATCGGTAATTGCAATTTTTCCTAAACATTCTGCAATTTTGTGGATTTTTGTGTTTTGGCTAAAATTTTGTAAATAATATGAATTAAATTGTGCAGGACCTTTTCACTGCAAGCCATTCATCATTTCCAGCACCAGTTCCAAGTTGGCAAGTCCATCCACCTTATGGAATGGGATATGGCATGCAGTACCATCCTACAGCCATGGTATATAAACCTGCCAAAATATCTATGTCAAAGAAGTTGAATATCAACTCCAACAATCTTATAATAGTGTCTAACTTACATTTTTCATTTAGTCCACGCCAGCTTTTCCCAATTCAGCAAAATCAAGGAATCCATTTGATCTCAATGATGACAACACTCAAGCTCAAGGTCCAATGGTATGCATATTCAGACTGTTTCTGTTGAAATTTTGTTCCCATATCCAAAAAAGTAACAATAAAAAAGAAAAGAAAAATAAATACAAAGACGTTGGAGCAAAAAATGAGAGCTTATAGTTTTAGGCTTACATAGTAATTGGGTGCACAGTTGCAAGCATGTGGCTGAGCTGAAATATTTCTATTGATAATTTCAGTGTTTGTAGAACACTAACTTATATTAAAAGCCTGTAGTGTGCATGTCTTGATTTATCCAGAACAGGTTGTATTTTTGTTCCTGTTGCTTTCTAAACTCCTCAATATGTTGAAGAAGCACAATTAGGTGGATGATGAAAACTAGACATGCACAAACCTTTAGAAAAGCGTGAGAGATATGCTGAGCTAGACAATAAATTGCCAAATTTATTTATTTATTATTATTTTTTAATCTAAAAAAATTGTGTTTTCCTGTGATGTAGTTGCCTTCTATGTTGCCTGTGCAAGGAGCACTGCCAAATTCGTCAGCTCCTACAGCCTTATTGTATACTGCAGATACCCACTCCTCCCATTTGATGCAGCCTCAGGCTTCATCTTATGGATCTATACCACCTTCACAGATACCTTCTTCGGGAATGTCTCCTTCTCCTGGTAAAATCACACACCATCAGCTTCTGTTTTTGTTTCCATTCACTTGAAATTTTCTTCTATATTTTTGTCATGTCCAATTCAATGGTTTCAGGGGCGTTCATGGGGCAACAATTTCCCAATAATATGCCATTTCCCAGGTATTGTTGGCCGTCAATTGAAAAACCTTCCTTTCTAGAATATTACACAAGAAGGATATTTTTGAAATATTGTCTATCCTGCTGTGTGACTACAATTATTAACCATTTAATCAATTTGGCCTTTATTTTGAAATTGAATGCCCTTACCAATATGCTTTCAAAATATTTTATTTACACTTCATGAACTCACCATTTAATGTACAAGTTTTGATGTGTGGATACGGAGTGTTATGCATGTACACACTGTGTCACTTCTGTTATCGGTTGTTTTCTCTCTCTTATGAATCTGACTATGATATGATATTTGCATCCAAAAGAAACAAATCCTGAACCTCAATTTTCTTCATTGCAGACCACAAAAAGTTGACACTGTTAGTAGAGGTAACGATGCTTTTGCCTCCTTGAACCCAATTCAGCAGCCCATCAGCAGATATTCAGCACCCACTTCTACTCCGAATTCTGCTTCATCATCATCAGGAGGAAACCCATTTGCATAGTGGCTAGAATGCATTATTGGTATTCCATATTTGAATCATAATCTTCCCGCTTTGGGGCCCCAGTCGGGTTGAGGCTGAAATGTAACGAGCGAGCCATCTGAATGAAGTAATTTGCAACGAAACAGATTGTCATCCTTGGAATGGAGCACGTGTGCGTATGCTCAGCACAAAGGTGTTCTTTCAAGGTATTTGTAAAAAATTATTGTTAAATTCAGATTAATATATGTTTCTGTTTTCTTCTCACTATTGGTTTATTTGTTGCCATCCATGGTCAGTGCTCTTTTTTATCTGATAAAGATTGGTTCCTACCATATTTTTTAATTAAAAAAACTTGTTTCAACATGTAATATGTTTTAATGAAACTTCCAAACAACACTTTTACTAAGTTGATTCTTCCAAATGGGAAGGATTTGGCAAAATCATAGCAAGGTGTTATGTGAATGATCCATCCAATCATAAAAGAAAACACTGATACTCTATTGAATCACGTTTTGGGACGTACGTTTTAAAATATGGTATATTTTCATTTCAAAATAATAAATTTAACAATTCAAAACTATTCCACAAACATGTTTTTTTTTCCAGTATGTTTATTTTTTCTGAGGGGTAACAAAAAATCAAATATAATGAATTAAATCTAAGGTGAGTGAAGTTTTTACATGACAAAACATACAAAAAGGGTCATAATACTAATAGAAACATGTTCTTATGTGGTTAATTTTAAGGAGAAAGAAAAATTATATTTTATTAGATATCTGATTGTTTTAAAAAAAAAAAATCTCTACACTAAAAGTACCTTGAATTTTAATTAGTGTAAACTATACAAATTTATCTCTATCATATTACATTTTAGATCATATGACGTAAAGCATACCACATCCGTATTTTCATTCTATGTACCAATGGACCATTAACATACGATCCATCGTCCTACTATACTTTTTACTGATTGGCCTTTTAATCATTTTTAGAACTCAGAAAGAGTAGTTTCACTAGTCATCCTTTTGAAACCTGTCATTGTTTTTGTTTCTAAAATCATGAAAAATAAAACATTCAAAATGAAAATGGATAGCAAACAAACAGTTGTTGAATGATGTTGAAATTGGGAATGTTAACTTGCTGTTTGTTGAATAATTATCACATGGCCTAACCAATCATTGGCTAAATAAGAGAAAACTCTATGATTATTTTTAAGGGTTATTTACATGAACCTTCTCTAAATTATTAACAAATATCATTTTAATCTCTTAAATTAAAAAAGCGTACAAATAGATCCTTAAACTATTCAGAACTATCACTTTACTTCACAAATTATAGAAGTGTACAAATAGAAACCCTAACGGAAATAGTCAAAGTGAAATACGCCAATAGTTTAGGAGTTCATTTGTACACTTTTATAGTTTCGGAGATAAAATAATATTTCTAAATAATTTAAGGAGTTTATTTATACTTTTTTATAGTTTAGGAGATTCAAGTGATATTTTTCAATAATTTAAGAAGTTATTTCCTATAAATAATCTTATTTTTACTTTTATTTATTTTTATTGTTGACTGTCAACTTAAAAAATTGTAGACGTGATGTACATGCATGCATTGCGTAAAAGTCCAAACATGAGATCAGATATTCGTAATTGCATACATCGAAAAGCAATGAATAAGATATTCATAATTTTAAGGATTAACTTGCAGTTTATGTAGGTGAGAAATTAATTAAATTTCTTTTTCTTTTTCTTTTTGTTTGATTCATAAATTTCTTTAAGTGCTCTTCAAACACCTACTATGAGATTGACATAATTTTCTTTCCTTTCTTTTTTATTTTTATCATATTATTTGGACGATATTTAGAAAACTTGATGAATGAGAATGAGTCAAAATTTTAAAATATAATTCATTCAAAATAATAATAATAATAATAAATTTATGTAATTCAGCCAGTGATAAATGCACCCTGTCAGCAAATTGATCACTTTCTCACCTAACAAAATGTTTTTTGTTTTTTTGATTGACACCTAACAAAATGTTGAAATGTTGAAATGTTGGGATATTTACTTTGGGATAAATGAGTAAGTGGGCGTTCGGAATGTGTTTGGTTGTGTTTTCAAACAATGATTCTACACTCATATTTAAATATGATGTTTGGTTGCAAGTCTCAAATCACGTTTTTAAAACTTTGTAGAAAATTTTGTTTCAGGCGCATTTTTCAATTTTTTTTTTAAAAATTTGGCCTAACCGGTCGTTTGGCCGGTTGTCCGAAACAGTGATTTTTTTTTTTACAATTGACATATGTTAATTTTTATATATTCGAAAAAAATATTTTCTAAATTTTTAAATTTTTTTTATGTGTTTTAATAGAATTTTGAGTTGGATGTTTGGTTATGAGTTGTAAGTTTTTGTATCAAATATCATATGTCACATAAAAAATTCTCCATTTAATTCAAAACTCTTTTCAAAACTCTTTCACTAAACAAATTTTTTACACTCAAATCATAATTCCAAAACTCACAAACTCAAAATACAACTCATACTCTCAAATTATATTTACAAAACTCCATCAAAGGCAATCTTTTTTCTTGTTGTGTTTTGTCTTTTTCCATTTTTTTTTGTTTTTGTTTTTGTTTAGGCATTGTCAGTTCAGTAGAGCTGCTTTTAAAAGAGCTCTATTAAAGCTCTCTATCATTTGGGTGTGTGCTATTGCTAAATAAACTAATAAAATTTCTTACTACACCTATATGTGTTGTTAGGAATGCTTTATTTTGCAATAAACAATTTGGATGTTGTTCATATTCCACCCTAAAATATTGAAGCACTCAATTTTTACAAGGGTATTTTGGGTTTTTCCTTTAAACACATTTGAGAGAGAGAGAGAGAGACCTAAATGAGTAATGTGACCTTATAAAATTAAATACTCTTTCCATCTTTTTTGTTCTCCATTTTTCAAGGAAAATGATTTTTTTCCCGATTTTTGCCCCTCCGAACAGCCCGAAATAGATAGAAGAGAAAGAGAAAGAGAGAAAGAGGGAATGGAGAGAGAGAGAGAGAGAGAGAGGGCCCCTTTGCTTCCGCCGATCGATCGCAGATCGCCCGGCCGATCATCGCAGCTCGTCGCAGCCCCGCTTCCGCCTTTGCCTCTACCTCCGCCCGCCGTCGTCGTCGCCTCCGCCTCTTTCTTCTTCTTCTCTGCTACTCTTTCTTCTTCTTCTTCTTTTCTGATTGAAAAAAAAAAAAAATCAAAACAACGAAATGACGTCGTTTTGAATTCGGGGGATTCGAGGAAACTCTTTTTCGAGCTACGTAGCACAACTCATTCTTCAAAATCCAACTCTTTTACATTTAATTAATTAACTATTCATTTCTAAAACTATCTTCTACTCACACCCACATGGATTCACATCTATCAGGAAAACAAACAAACAAATATACACATGTATATATATAAGTTTATTTAGGGTGAAAACCTCTCCGATGCCTAAGTCAGAAAACTTGACAAATAGACAAAGCTCTAAGTTCTCAGAAAGATCGTGTTCAATTACCTCCTCCAAGGTGATGCTTGTGAGCTTTTATAAGTTTCATATGGCACAATCCTAGTAGGACTTGTATTTCTCCATGTAGAGTCCTCCTAGGATTCATACTCTTAAGGATAATGCTTATCCTTTCACACCCTCCCCCACTGCTTAAACCAAGTGGAATGGTTCTCTTTATGGCCGAACTTCCATTTGACCGAAGTAAAAATGGCTATGCCGAGCCACAAAGTAGGCCGTACTAACAGTTGTTCGGTTCTTCTTCATGCTACACCATATCTCGGTTCTCTCATACATGAACCGTGGTGTGTTTGGACCGATCTACTGAATAGCAACATTCCGACCGACCTACCCCGAATTAGTAACTTTGCCCTTCTGGGCCGGAGTATCTATTGCGGCCTTCTTACTTAGTCCTTCACGTTTTGGGCCTTAATGCCCAACTCGCAGCTCGGCCCAATTTTTCCCAAAAATTACCATCTCAATTGCCCCTTAATTCCATCTGCATAGCATGATTGGGATTACCAGTCCATCAGCCGAGCTGACGTCGTTTCAAGCTATTCCAGCCGAGCTAAAAACCCTCGAATTTTTCAGCCGAGCTAATTTTACTCCGGGCCCTGTTTTGTCCGGTCAAAAACGTCTCTTCAATCATAGCGTCTGTAACGCTTCCCATTCTTATGACACGTGGCATGTTTTGATTGGTTAAGGACGGCTGTCACGCCGTCTTCGTGCTTTGCGATCTTGAAACAGTTCCCGCCCAAATTTTGGGCTCTCTAACAAAAGTAATCCCTGAGGCTAGGGTATCTTCACTTTTACTATTCCTTCATCCTCTCTCTCTGCTTTCTTGCTGCTCGAGTTCTTCTTTCTACTGCAACAGATTTTCAATTTTAGTCCCTTCTTCTTTAACCTGGTAAGCAAATTCTCTTTCCTTCTTGTTCTGTTTTGCTTTCGTATCTGCATAGCTTTGTTTTGTATGTTTTTTGCAAACATTTTCTTTCATTTGCCGCTTTGCTTCTGGATTTTTATGAAGAAACCAGAAGAACTCCATGTATGTATGAACTATTATGTAGAAAACCAGCCCTAGATCCAAAATCACATAGTAACCGAACTAGGATCCTGTTTGCCCCCATAGGTAGATCTCTGTAGTCAAGAACCGCACTAGAACTTAAAAGCTTCAATGGATTACCAGGGCCTGATTTACTTTAGCCGAAATAAGATCACCACATTTTGAATATAGAAAACTAGGAACTTCGGTTGTCAACCGAACTAAGCTTTCGGGGCCAAGCCGGTCTTCTTGGTTCCTAAACCGAACTCAGAAAGCCGCCCCTAGAAGCTTAACCGAAGTAACTTTATTCATTCCACAACTGATTTAGGCCTTGGGGCTAGACCAGCTTTCTTAGTTTTTTAGACCGAACTCAGAAAGCTGCCCCTAGACGATAAACCGGTCTAATCTGCTCAAGACCGAACTAACAAACCTTTTGATAAGCCGAGGTAGAACCAGCCCACTAAGCCGAAGTAGGATTTGCATATCTTGCTTATAGTTTGTAGCGCGGTCCAACGATCTGTGCTTAACCCCTTTGTTTTCTACCTTGCAGACTTAGGTTGCCCAGACATTCCTGCGTGTGCTCAACCGAGCTACTGAGCCTAGTTTTTGTACCGAAATAATTTATTCATAAATTATACAACAAATGGGTAAGTATAGATATTTAGTCGAAACCCCTGGTGGCATGG